ATTATTATTATTATTATTATTATTATTATTATTATTATTATCAATTATTAAACTGATCTTATCTCAACCCACAAGTGTTCTCACTTACCCTTCTGATTCTCTCCCCCATCCCAACGGTGAGGGGGAGGTGAGCGAGCGGCTGTGTGGTGCTTGGTTGCCGGCTGGGGCTAAACGACAATTAGTTAGGCTGGTTTAGACAGCCTAACTGTCTAAAGCCTAAATCTTTGTTAAAAAGGGGTCCTGGAAAGTTAACACAAGTAAGTGTATCATCACATCTGAGAGACTTCTGAACAGGAAAAGGTGATGGGTAATTTCTTCAACTGTCACCAGCCGAGTGTAGAAAAAGATACATGTCCTTGTCCTTACTTGGGGATGCACACATGCACGTTAGACAAAGCAAACCCAATCAAGCATTTTTGGTCCCTTTCTCTTCCTTTTTTTCTGCATTTTTAAACTGTTTTACTTCTAAGCAAAGATAATTGCCCCCATTTCTATCTCTGAAGTACCAAATCTACTTTAGGCACTTACTGTTATTTATAACATCATTATGTCCATACAGACAAAAAAATGAGGTAGGCCATGGAGAAGGGACACTTTCTGAAGTCCTTCACTAGTTGACACAATGTAAAGGAGGTAGATGAGGCAGATGATAGAAGAGTAGGAGAGAACATTTGATAACTCCAGTAAAGGGAAATAAAAATATGACGACTATGTAACTGATTAGTAATACTCCCAACAGAGATGAAAAAATGTAATGATAATGGACAGTTTGAAGATTATAGTGAATGCAAGCCAATAAACAATTAGGATAACAAGTAACCGGACTTGTTATGTTCATCCAACAACATTTGCAATATATGACTTTGATGCAAGTGTACTTACGTTAATATTCTTTTAGGATTGGGCTTTAGCACTTAGTACTAGAGGGCAAATCCAGTTTGTAAATCCAGCAAATCAGATGGGTGTTTTATATCTGCTGTTGTAACTAATCTCCAGAGTTTGATCAACAGTGAAACTACAGGAACTTCTGTAGACTCTTAATTTCAATCTGAGTTCATTTTCTAGCTCTGAGTGCTGTCAAAATGATAAGAATAAGTACTAAACTTATTCACTAGATCTTAGTCATGCTTGCAGAGTTTGCTCTTCCTTAGTGACAGGAAGGTCATTTACCCCTGGAGGAAATGAATAGCAAGCCTGTTCCACTTCTGTTTGTCCTTTGTTGCAGAAAGGCAGGTTGAAGAGGCTAATTAGCTGAATTCATCAGCTGAGAAGGCAGTACAGTATTGGGCTTGCCCTTCCTCTGCAAGACATACACACTTTTACAAGCAAGCACCTCCTGCAGATAGGTGATAAGATGTTAGAGAAGGTTAGTTCTCTTCCTATATAATTAAGCTGAACAGCAGTAGACTTTCCAGTGTGCAGCTATACAGTGTATCATATCCTGTCATATCCTCTGTCCTCTCCAAAAGCATGTCGTCGTATTTCATTTGTTTGTTTGTTTGCTTGTTTGTTTTGTTTTTACCTTTTTCAGCTGTTGAATTTACTGGAATGCTTTGTAGTTGTGGTACCGAGCCTGATCATGTAAATCATTACATATGCAACACGAATGCCGCTTTATCGCTCTGGTCATTTGTCTCAAGAAGACAAAAGAAATAACTAAGTGATCCATTTTAATAATTTTCATTTTGAAAGGTGCTGTGTGTAAGAGTGTATTCATTCCTTGTAGTTTTAAAGGGGCTGCTCTGAAGTATCTTGGAAGCAAGAGAATTTCCCTTCTGCACTGGAAATCTGGATCACAGTATTGCCTGCTGTTCAAAATACTTTGAGTACTATCTTCATCAGTTTTATGCTTACTCAACCTCTATGACTTCTAGGTCAAATTTTCGCCATTTATATAAGTAAATAAGACAGTGCTTCCTGATGGTCCATCCTTACACTCAAAGACAGGATTCAAAAGTCAAGGCGCATTATTTCTGACATACATTCTCATCACTAGGGACATTCAAAAAGATGCATCAACATTTCAGTTAAAGCAATGAACTTAAAAATAAAATCACCGTCTCCTTCACATATTTTACCATTTTTCCATCCACAGATGGAAATAAGTCTGGATTCGGACCTAGGCCTGGAGCTTAGTTCATAGTTCTGCTGATTAGGCTCTCCACAGAGAGCCCATGCTATCAGAAGAATAACTGATTAATATTTATTTTTTATCACTGAAGTAAGGAGAATGGATTTCTAACAAAGCATTCCAACTCTGTGGAACAAGAAAATGCCTTTCATAAATGCTCATTGTTCTGTGTTAGGAGCACATCTTCAGAATATTTCCATGATATAAAGCTTTTTTTAATTCCAACAAATTAAAATCTGGAGTGTGTCTAAGCAAATAATTTCTTAGTCTGTATGTTCTTGCCGATGGATGTCAAGGAAAACCTTTTTTCACAGAATCTCAGGACTCAAATCAATTAAAAATTTTTGAGTAAGATTGCCTTAGATTTAAAGAATGAATTAATATATATGTGGATATAATAATCTTCCACTATTTTGTTCTTAGGTCATTAAAAACACCAGTGCCAAATATACTGCATTGATTTGTTCTTTTACCTGATTATCTCATACCTCTTTGGTAGTCCTACCTGCTTGGCTTATAAACATAAATGTTATTTGTGATTAATAGGACTCGAACTATTTATCGTTAAATATTTTCCTGCTGCATTCTCTCTCATCTGCATCAAATTAAGTGAGATTTCACCTAAATTGGCAAGTTTGTTCTGCTTAAGATGATTCATAATAGCCACATGTTTACATTCCACAGATTTCCAGACATGGGCTTCACAAGGGGAAAAAAATTCAGAAACTTGAGCAACATTTGTCTCTGGCTTTCCACCCTTTCAGTGTCCAGCCAAATCTCTACAGGCGCCTCTCCTTTTTCTTCCCATCCATACAAACTCCTATGAAATGAAAGTCCTGGTTTTCTAGGAGACTTTATTATGGCCTGAAGTTATTAGCCCAGTTTGAGTACATATTAATAATCTCTACCTTTGTACAGATTTTTTGGAACTTGGCACGTATGACCGCATCCATTGGAACAGCATTTCTTCACTCCAGAACATTCACTATCAGCTTCACAGCTTTCAACACAGGCAGCTGCAAAACCACTGGCCTTCTCAGGTGCTGGGCAGTCCCCTTGCTTCACAGACAGGATGTACTTAAGGAATTCACAGCTAGTTAGGCATTCATAATTCTTCTTGGGGAAAAGAGGCTAAAGGGAAAACAAAAGAATTTATAAAGTTTTCAACAGGAACAAAAAAAAAAAAAAAAAGAAAAAATGTTGTACATTTTCCAAGACCTCCTAAAGGAAAATTCAGATTTTCAGCTTTTGCAAGACTATCCCTGAAGGTTTATATATTCAAGCCACTTCTAAAAAAGCATTCCAAGTACAGAATGATGAATTCCCTCAAGTAAGACCACCATCTTTAATGGAATAAAGTTGTTTAGATCTGCCAGCTTTCCCTTGTTTTCCTCACATTGGCTGGCTACAAAGTTGCTCAATGACAGATTAAAAACATTCCCAAAACAAAGGGGAAGCAATGGTCAGACAGTCTTTTTTTTGGATTACCCCACATTCCTCCCTTTGTACTTCATAACACTTTACCCACAGTATCTGATGTAATGCCATTCTAGATAAATAAGTGAAATCTTGTTTCATTATACTGTTTGAACTGAGTTGGCTAAGAGAAGATTTTGCAGCATCTTTATGTTCTTGCCAGAATATTAGTAATTGTATAACTCTTCATGGAACTGGAACTAAATTTCTGATAAAATAATCAGTAGAAAATACAGATTAAAATAAGCCTTAAATATATTTATTAAAGATCAAAGTAAATGCTATTTCTTTGAGAAATCAAGTCCTAGATATACGAGAGGTTGCTTCAACGCATAGACATTTTATAGCATGTGTACTACTCAGAGATTTGCAAGGTTCACTGGGAACTGTATTAAAAATAGCATCTAGCACCCTGGGGAGAACATTGTGTGTGACATGGGGATTTCATCTCCTCTTTTATCTGGTGCTTTATTTAGTTTTGTGCAAAAACACCTAAAGTAATTCCCTCAAAGTGATTCGTGGAACTGTAGATGGGCAACCCATGTAACTGGGGTTATCTATTGCCTGCCTTTCTATCTCAGAGCAACCAAAAACCTTCCACTCTGACAGATCTGATTTACAGATTCCTAAGCCTACACAGGAATTATAACCCACTCTCTATCCAACTATTCATGTAACTTCTGCAACTTCCTTCCATATTCAAATGTTCTACTTTCTTATTTTTACTGTTCTCATATTTCTGGCAAAATAAGAAAGACTTTACTATTATGGAGGCCCAGGTGTTTCACAGACTATGTGGCAGTTTATTCTCCAAAGTCACTGTAGTCCAAGAATGTGCCACTATGTTACCTCACCCACCTTGTCCTACAGAACAGTCCAGAATTTTTGTATCAGGATTTTAAGGATGCATTTGGGTGTTACGGCTTAACCAGCCTAAAGGCTGCCGAAATGAGCGGTCCTTATATCTCCTCCTGACCCCAGTGGTCCTTGGACACGCACTCCTGCTGTTCCCCCATTGGAATGCACCTGATCCCATGGTTAGCCAGTTAAGAAGCTAAACCAGCAGGAAACTGAATTTATGGAAAAAAAGGAGTCAGGTAAACTCTCCTTTTCGTCTTCACACATAAGGTTCCTTTAACATTAGTACACTCATCCAGTAGATAAGAAGTAACATACCAAGCAGGGACCTTGAGAAAAACAAAGCTAAATTGTTGCTTCCAGATTTTTTACAGAATACAAAAAGATTGAAAACACTCTCAGAGGAAAACAGCCTTGTTTAATTCAGTCAAACAATGTCTATGGAGCATACATGAGTCTGAGAGAAAGGAAAGTGGTCCCGTGCTTTTGTGTGTGTGTGTGAAGCTAATTTCAAATCCTAAAACATCACAAATTTGCAGCTACTTAATTAAAAACTTTATAGCTCCCTGAGGCATAATACGTCCTCAAGGCTTCTCCTCCTCACCCTATTTCACAGCTCATTTTTCAGTTAGCTGCTAAATGTGCTGCTCTTCATTATGGGCCTTTGAAGTTCTAAATTTAGCTTCAACCACAAAACACTAATCAAAGCGGGATGCTCACTGTTTTTAACTACAATAGAACAGTGTTCTACAAATGTTTTCCTTCTAAACCGATTTTATACTTATTTTCACCCATATCTAGAAACATACAGCCTGAGTGAGAAGTGATATACGAGAATGACATAAATTAGATCCACTAAAACTGCTTTATTACACTACCCTCGAGTTTTGTATTATTAATCTGGGTTAAAGAACTCTTACAAGGATTGGTTTTCACAGTGATGAGGGAGGAGTTAAATCAGTGTATCAGTGAGATCAATATATCAATTAAGGTCACTTCTATTTTTTTAGAGGAAAAGCTGAAAATCTTCATAAACATACACTTTCATAGACTTGAATAAAGTTGTATCTTTATATTGATTTATTTATAATAAAGCAGCTTTCTATTGAGATGATATTTCCATTTTCTACTAAAAACCACTTAAGAACTGACTTCCACCAACTCAGAAGAGCCATGTTTTAAATCCAATAAAACCATCTCCTTTTTTGTACTAGTTTAATTGATCTAGGTTTGCTTATTCACAAGGTTATTCTGAAACATGATTCAGAAACAGTTTTTCAAAGACTTGTTCCTGAATAATTATGTATTTTGATAGTAGTCTTCTGAACTAGGAGTCCACAATCCAGTTACTCCTGGAGAGATATTCTTTTAGAAATCAGATTGACTTTCACATACAGGAAAGCCATCTTTTCTAGCTACCCTGCATGAGGATTTTCACACAATGACATTTTATCTTTTAAACAAAGACAGTCTTTCGTACACATGGCCAGAAAAGATGGAAAGGCATGTGGTAGAAATAGCATCTTACAGGAGGGATTTAACAGCACCTTCTAAGAGAAGCTATGTAAGTGTGGCTGGATCAAGTCTTAAAACTTCAGGTTGAGATAAATCATTTGGTCAGAAAAAAAAAATCTTTTTTTTAAAACTCAAATTTGATATGGCTAAATTGTTATATGTGTATCCATTCAAATGAAGGCGAATGCCATGTTTGTTAGCTGTCTCCTTGAAGCTAATGATTTAAGTGAAAGAGACAGCTAGAACAAAGTGAGAAAGAGTGCCCTCAGGCTGACGTACCTCACAGAAGCTTTGGCAATGGTTTTTCTTCAGGTCCCAGGACTCTTTGCAGGGCTCCAGGCACTAGGGAGAATCAGGAGGCAGAGAAGTGTCAGGAAGAGAAAGAAATAAACAACCACAAATGACCCCATTTCTTCTCCAGTTGTTTGTTTGGCCCATAGGAAGTTAATAATAGGCTTTAAAAATCCACTTCTCCTGAGGATAAGATTGTGTCATTCAGTCATGGTGTCAGAGCAAGGTCATGCCAAGCTATGGTTAGATTACAAGAAATATTTTCAGTATTTCTTACTGTACAAGGCAATTGCCTTACTTGTTTATATGCCATCCTATTTTCCGTCTTACTGAATCTAGGTCCTAATACCATTTAACACCGTGTCACTGGATCACAGAAACAATGTCAAAAGCAGTACTCTAAACTACAGAAAGTTAAATCTTCTCCTCACTGACCAGCCTAAAGATTAGACGGGAGCATTGCCTTCCCAAGCGAGAAACTATTTCATCAAGCTATGGAGTAAACTCAGCAGAGGTTTAACCACTATTCCTGTATAAATAGACAATGTTCACTGGTCTGTTAGCAAAACCACTTTATTTCAAGTACCATATTATCATTTCTTCACCTTCAACCTCTACCGCAGTGGTTATACAGATAGTTGAGATTCAAACTCTGCAAACCAGAGTCAAGCTTCACAGCATAGCATAAAGAAAAATCACACTATTAAAAGCATTCACAACAGCTGAAACATAAATTTAGATTCACATCCAGAAACCTTTTCTCTTCCTTTGTTAGACATATGGTCTTGGAAAATATTGGCATTGTTGGGAGTTAATAACACCTACTCCTTCTGGTAATAGTGGAAAGATACTTATTGCACCAAAAAGAAAGGCCTTTGACATGCAATTTAGCATTTATATAATTTGTTTGTCTTATACATAGTATTAGATTGGATCCACATACATTTATGCTATTCAAAACCAAGTACAAATACATATAGGCTGTATCTCAGCTGTCCACCTGTACCATTAATGTACTAAAAAAATCAATGTTTTAAAAGTTAAGCATTTTTCTTACTAGCAATAAAGCCTGAAAAATATAATAAAACCATTAGCCACAGAGGTTACATATTTCAGGAATGAAAAATACCACTCAAACATTTTATCTATATATATTTTGGTGTTTTAGACTCAATTTCTAGCTCTTCAAAATTCACAATGAGCTGTATACAGAGTAATTAGAAGGATACATTATAAAATGTCACTGAAGTCAGTAAGTTTAATTAATTCCAGAGTGTTGTTCCTCCTGTGGTATAGTTACTGCACATGTGAGCCCAATTCCACTGTCATGCCAATTTTACAACTCTCCTAATTGTCTGATGGATTTAGCCCCAAATTACAGAGGTATAAATTGTGTAAAGACAAAATGGGCAATATTTTGACCACACTGGGACTTTGTCAATGATTCCTAAGGCTGCCAGGATTTCCAAATCCTTGCCTTCTCTGAATTCTTGCTTCACTGCTGCACAGCACACAGAGCATATCTAAACCAGCACACCCACAACCTTGAGATGAAAACTAGGACCAAGGTCATGCTGACTGGACCACCTTCCTTGCAGGCTCTAGAGCAAAACAGTTGGTACTCCTGGAAGGAAATACCAAGATGCTGTATGCTTCAGAGGGTCTGTTCAAGGCGTTTGTACCAGGATGTCTTTACCTGTAATGTAAGTAGGCTCCAGCACTTGATGCCTTGTCTGGCTGCCGCTCTGTCTCAATAATCACTCAGGACAGCCCACCTTCAGTTGAGCCCCAGTATCTCCTGCCACTAGGGCAGGCAGAGACGATGGGCATCTCAACTCAGACACTTCAAAGGAAAGATGGACAAAATGAACCAGGACTGAGCAATATCCTGCAATCCGACTGCTCTCAGAATACTCCAAGGAAAACAGATGATGTAGCAAGACCTAAGGCCTCCATCATAAGCTTTATAGGCTCTGATTAGAGTACACAGCTCTTACCTATACATAAACAAAAAAATCTTCCTACTCCTGCTGTATGAGGAGTCCTCAGAGCATTGGGACTCTAGCACCATGGGGACTAACATTGGGACTGCTCGGCCATGGAGCCTAGCAGCATGGGCTGCTGCAGAAGCCGATTGCCTAGCTTTAGTGGAGCTGTACCATTCTGTAGGTTGGAGAAAAACTGTTAGTAGACAGAAATGTTGCCAATAACTTCGCACTAGAAGAGTTTTGGACTGTCCTTCTAAAAAGGTAGTTATTTAGCTTGCAATAACAAAGATGAGAGTACCTCACAAACACTGAGGTTTGTGCATTTATCCTTTTAGCTACTCTGTTATGAGGTTCCCCTAAAGTGGGAAGCTGGAAAAGCTGGAAGCTTGGATCCAGGTCTCACCTTTGAGTCCTTGACTTAAACTGTAAATTAGCTGAGATCTTGAGATGCGCCCCACCGTCTGGTGAGCTTTATCCTCTGAACAGCAATAATCTCAGGTAGGGAGAGAACTTTTTTCCCCCATGAAGTCTCTCCTGATGTTTTTTATATGGAGAGGGAAATGTGTTCCAGATCCAATGTGTTATATACATGCTAGCTCTGAAGAAGGGCTATTGTGTACATAAATTTGTCTTTTTCCAGACATCTAAGCTTTCCAATAAACTCTCTGTCCTCATAAGCTTTAGACTGCTTGGTTCTGTTAAACTTTCTCATCCCATTTAGATGTGTCACTCTGAGCTGTATCTTTTATCTGCAAAGGGTTGTGGGTTTTTTCTCATCTTTGGCATGCTTTGCTATGAATGTGCATCAAGATGATTCTACTGAAGAACATATATTTTGCAGTGCTCTGCACAGTACTGTAGTAAAACATGTCTCCCTCCCCTATTGATCTCCCCCATTTTTAGTCCATCTAGCCAAGGAAAGCACCAAGTTGAAAATTCTCTCAAGAAAAAGCAGAATCAGGCCTTACATCGACAGCAGCTGAAGGATTTCTGACAGGTATCATTCCGTGCATAATAAAAATTAAAATCAAGAAAATGTAAGTCAGAACTAATGGCAATAACATCTGTTTTCTTAAATCCAAGTCTTCAGAGAACAAAAAAAAACCCATACATCTTAAAATTTAAAATTTGGATAATACATTTATAATAATTTCAGTGCAACTCAGCAAAGGCCTGACCCAAAGCTCCCCCAGACCAACAGGAGTTATTTCACTGGTGTTTAGCTTAGTCTTGATATCTGAAAGGAAAGCATACAGCATTTCTCACCAATAAGAAGAGTTTCAAGGAAATACCTAAAACACCCATGAGAAAACTATTCCCACCCAGCAGGTAAACACATCCAGGTTTTCTGGATTAGTGTAAATGTGTGTGCCTGTTAAGAGGATACTGAAATCCTCTATCCAGGATAAGGAGGAACCTAGGCCAAGCAGCAGCTGGCAGCTGGTTTTGGCTCTATTTTATGTAATAAAAAATACCTTGCAGACAGTACCACCCGCCCTCAGAAGGTAAGGTTAGGTATGTAGATGGCAGGAGGGCAGCGGCACAGAAAGCGTCCTGGCAGTCCATTTGGCGGATGCCACTGGTCCCTTGGAGCCACGGCTGACTGCTGCCCCGGCATCACCATAAAGGCTGCTCTACTGCTGGGGCGGGAAGAGATATGAAACACAGTGTTGAAGCAGTCATTATGGGCCGGTGGCACTCTTCAGAAGATGGTGGGTGTTAATCACACTGGCCTTGCTAAATTGAATCCTCCTAAAGCACCTGTTTTATCATCTCCTGTGGTTAAATCTGGAAATTGTAGGCTTGCTTTCTTCATCCAGACTGCTGCAGAGTTGTTAGTCAGTACTAAACAATTGCATCAAAAGCCAAAAGGAGTGCTAATAGAAAGCACCCCCGCATTTGTCATCCTTCAAAATTTTGGGGGGGGAGGGTGTATGTACGCACACATACACAGGTATAAATATGTATTATCAGACACTACTATAGATCTGTTAATGTCCAGACTGTATAAAATTAGGAACAAGGGCAAAGTACTGTTTCATTCAAGGAAGAAGGATGACTATTGCTTTAACAAAACAACTATTTTGGTTTATTTTTTTTTTATTTCATTTTTTTTAAAATTGCAGTTAAGGGCCCTGTTAGAGAAGTCTTTTTTGTTCTAATTTTTAAACTATAAATAAAGCAACTATGAGATTAGCATATGATGCATGCCATTTACAGTAGTTAGTAAAGGGATTTTCAAAATAGTCCACCAACACTTTTGCTTAGGAAATGTTGCTTTTGACCCAAATGGGAGAGAGTTACACCGCACAGCAATTTTGAAAGTCTAATGAATTGCAAAACAACATTTAAGTATTGAGATAAATATTTATTCAAATAATGTATATTTATTCAAATATTATATTTAAATTAAATAGCTGAATGTGACATATTTATAACTATTTAAACAGCAAACAATTATTTATTTCAGAGTAGAAGAGTCTACCCACAGTATTTTTGTCTAATAAGGCTTCTTCCTTCACCAAAGTGGAACCGAGTCCTATGCAAACTGTTGTAAAAAGAAAGGAATCAAAGTTATAGCTGGAATATAATTATTCTTTTCATTACCATTCACCATTCCAGTTGCTCACAGCAGCAAGGTCAGAAATTAATGATTTAGGTTTACAATATATATTTAAGTGTTCTGCTGTCCTAAGGTATTTAATTAAATGGAACTTAGATGGTTAAAAAAAAAGGAAAAAAAAACCTTTCAGTGTACAGTCTCCTAAGAACCTGCGATGTCATGAAGACAAGTATGTAAAAAAAGCATGTACTCACTATCAGGCACTGAGCAGAGAACATTCTTGGGGTCAGGAATTTAACCAAAGTCAAAGGAGAATATAGTGTTTATCACTCTTAGAGAGAATCATTTTGTGATGGGCACACTTAAATAAACGACTGCGCCCAAAGGAACCATGAGAAAAGTGATTTTCAATCTGTAAATCTTAGCACAGTGGCAGTAAAAACAATGCAAAACATAAACAGGCAGCAAGGGAGAAATAATTGATTTTGAGATTTATTTTT